ATATTTTTGCAAACAGTGCGGTCAGCTGGTTAATGGTCGCCACACCGCCGTACTTGAATAGCTCCGGAGGAAGTCCGTCTAAGCCGGCAGACTTCCGCTTAGCTGGGTGGATTCAGGGAGACGAGCCAGGGTGGACAACAAGGTGTACTGCATGTACTGATGGATGGTGGAGGCCAGTTGAACTGCGAGTGAAAGTACTCGACCCAGCGGTTCATATGCCTCTGTTGGTTGGTGATCAGAGACTCATCCACCTCGCAATCGACCTCACTGACACCAGGCTTCCTGAGGCCAGTGGACCGAATGAGTTGGAAAAGACCGCGAGTGTTGTCAGAGAGGGCAGCGGTCTTCATCTCTAAAGCACGCTCAGACCACTATGTCCCGCGACCCTTGGGTATGCTTTGCTTGAGCAGCCGGTTGGCAGAACGGCGCCGCTCGTTGCAATCTGATTCCGCCGGGATATCTTTGCGGTGTTCGAACAGCTCCAGAGAATGAGCAGAGATCCAAGCCTTCAAGGGGCGTCGAGTTAGGCCGCAGCATGACTGTCCGGAACTGGTCATCGCTTTCCGTATACAAGTCCAGTGTTGTACTATGTTTTCCTGTGGATTGCAATTGAGTGCATATGCCAGTGAAGACTGATAGCCCGCCTGAACAGAGGAATCAGTTAATCTGTTTACATCAATCTTGCGGTGCTTTGTGTTTCGAGATCCTCCAAAACACACAGATTTTTGTACAGACCAGAGCATGATCTGAGTCAACGAAAGTGGACCAAAAGGACCTGCAGTCCAGTATGCTGCCGCGTCATCTGAAGCTGATTGTAATATGATAAATTTGAGACCACGGTTGTGTTGAAGAAGGGGAACGCCATGTTGCGGAACGCTTCTTCGTACGCCTGAAGATGGTACTTGCAAGAAACAGATGATTGTCTTGGCACAATGTGAGAAACCTCTCTCCGGCATCAGAGCGGTTCTCATCGAGCGCGTGATGACCACCAAGGTGGTGTTCATATGGTAACAGGCGACCAACGCGTGCGTCAAAATCCCCAGCAAGGATAAGGACATCCGATGTTTTAGCATTAGTCAAGAGCTTTTGTAGATCCCGGTAGAATTCGTCCTTGACCGAGTCTCCACTGCAGTCATTTGGAGCGTACATGGAGATCACAAACAAGTTGCGTCTCTCTTCGCAGTGCCTGTTGATTCTACATGAACCCCGAAGCCGAACTGTACATAGTCGGCTGTTAATCGGGAACCAGTCCAGTAGTGCCGCCTCGGTATTGCCAATTAGTGCTATACCTACACCAGCCAAACCCGCTAAGGCTGCTTCGGGATTTCCAGAAAGACGCAGGTGATATCTGGCTTCGTGGTCAGTGGGGGATGTCAATGTAAGCACAGTGCTGGGATCCTGCAATCGCGTTTCTGAAAGGCAGTAGACATCAATGTCTAGGGAATCTAGGGTGCGCGCTAGACCGGCTTGCTGTCCAATCTGCATGAGTGTCCGAACGTTGAAGCACGCCAGACGGAACGAGGATCAGGGACGAAGGAGAACCATAGGTTGAACTCCTTGGTCTGCGACGCAACCGGAATCGCAGCCAGATTGTTGAACACATGAATCGGGTAATAAAAAGTGAAGATTGTTAGCAGACAAACAATTGGCGTGTGATGAAGTCGCGTGAAAGTGACCAGCAGAAACAGTAGCTGGTGAGCACATTGTACTACAGTCCATGGTTGTGTGAGAGGGTGTGATACCACCCGGTTGCCCAAGCCGAAGTAGGGAGTTGACTTAGGGAACTCCACCCCGAGGTTTTGGCTAAATAACCTACCCGCGAGGCAGCAGGGCGAATTTGGGGAATCGCGCCTATTGGGAGGCGTTGACTGAATGTTCAGTTCATGCGTTTCTGTTTGGCAGATTACTAAACAGGGGCCCAATACTCCTTTTTGTTGCGGCATTGATCCGGCGGATCTAGAGAACTGGATTGGAAAGGTGCTTGATCGAATCCAAGCTTATGGCTTTCGTCTGAGAAAAGGTAAGTGTGTCTTTGACATGGATTCCGTAAAATACTTGGGATTCATCAATGATCAACACGGTAGAGGATCAGCCACCGCTAATATCAAGGCTATTCAGAAAATGCCTCCATCACATGTTGTAACGACACTACGATCCTTTATGGGACTGTTAAGTCACTACAGTGCATTTTTGCCTGCAATGCATGATATACGGGGTCCACTGAACGCATCACTTCTCAAAGATTCCAAGTGGTGTTGGAACACGGAATGCAGTCAAGCTTTTGACAAGATCAAAACCATGCTACCATCAGACCTGCGGTTGACTCACTATGATCAGAACTTGGATATCGTTGTTGTTACGGATGCGTCTAAGTACGGAGTTGGCGCTTTCCTGACGGAGCTGAGAAGGCAACTGCTCATACCGCGCAACAGTTGACGCCCGCGGAACGCAACCACAGTCAAATTGAAAAAGAGGTATTGGCGGTCATCTACGCCGTTAAGAAATTCCACAAAATGCTTTATTTCCGTCATCTTAATCAGCTCACGGATCACAAGACCCTACTCGCTATCGTTGGGTCCAAGAAGTGCATTGCCGTGTACTCAGCAGATCGGCTTCAGAGGTGGGCCACAAGGCTTTTGGGATGACTACGAAATCAAGTACCAATCGACTGGGAACATTGGTCAGGCCGATGCTTTATCACGCCTCATGGACAAAGATCGACAGGAGCCAGAGGACGTAGTACTGCCATGCATCTCAATTGAGCCTGAAGTTCGCTGCGTTATCGCAGATGCAATTAAAGCCATCCCAGTAACAGCTTCTCAGGTACGTGTCGCAACCTCCCATGATACCCTACACCAGCAAGAGATCCGCTTCTACAGATCCAAATGGCCAAAGAAGATTGAAAACAGTGAGTTGAAGCAGTTTCATCAGCGTCGCAATTCCCTGTGAAGTGTCGACGGCTGTCTAGTCTTTGCAGAACGAGTATTGGTTCCAAAGTAACTTCAGCCGAAGGTTCTGAAGCAATTCCACACCGGACGCCCGGGAATTAACCGTATGAAAGCATTGGTCAGAAGCTACGTGTACTGGCCTTATCTGGATGCTCAAGTCGAAGAGCTTGACCGCTCTTGCTCCAAATACGCACTTGCATCGAAGTCGCCAAGGAAAGGGGAGCTCCATTGTTGGCCGGATTCTGCGAAACCATGGTCGAGGCTCCATGCCGACTATGCTGGACCTATTAATGGAAACAATTCCCTTATCTTGGTTGAGGCCTACAGTAAGCGGCCAGAAGAACTGCACATTCCATCGACTACTGCCTCAGCGACCATTACCGCACTTTCTCAGTTTTCAGTCACTTCAGGTATCCGGACACATTAGTGACTGGCAACGGAACTCAGTTCAATTCAGCAATATTCGAGGACTTGGCAAAAAAACGGTATAACCCACATGAGATCACCATACCATCCACAGTCGAACGACCTAGAAGAGCTATTCGTGGATACCTTAGAGCACTACTGAAGGCGAAGGGTAGGGACCGACGGTCGAGATCCTTGAGACTTTTCTAGTTGCCTACAGGATAACTCAAAATCCGCAGGTGCCTCAAAGTGAATGTACGGTTGTAGCACTGATGCAACGGAAATTGCGATTAAGCCTCGATTTGCTTAAACCATCTGACAGGAACAGCCTGAGCAGAAACTGCAAAATGGGACAGCAGCAGTTCAACAGGAGACACAGTGCTCAGAACAGAGTTTTCTTCAAAGGGTAACCTGTGCTGACAAAGAACCCCCGCAACAACCAGGTTACCTGGACTCCAGGACGCATCATTCCCCGAACATTAAGTGTCACGTAGGACGTTGCTGTTCATTCCGAGGTTTGGGTCCGACGTGCCAATCAGTTACAATCTCGTTACTTTCCGGATGCATCACCAACGCGCAATATGTTGCCGTTAAACTTGCTCCTCGACACATTCCGTAGAAGCCCAGAAGAATTCAAACTCGAACAGGAGACTCCACTTCCTACATCTATACCGGAGTTAGCACCAAGAAGATGGACAGATCGACGTCGGAAGTCAGTGATTCCGATGCAAGCTGAAATCTTATGTGATTTATTCAAAAGGGGGAGATGTTAGGGGAAGCAGACCCCAAAGAAATCGATCGGAGAGAACGTTCAGCATTCCGGCTCGAAGGGGATTCGCTTGTCTCATGGTCGTGACCTGGCTTCAACCAACGAGTTTACACATTTAAATTTTCAAGGTCATTGCGTAGGACTTCATAAACCAATGGAATCGTCTCCTATGTACCTTGTTTGTCTTATCGCAAGAGAATGTTCCTGGTTGACGTCTTTCGACTTTTGCTTTGGGTTGAAAGTTTGGGCGTTGAGGTCGGCACACTTTGCGATACATAGAAGGTCCCAACATGAAGTCAGTGGAGCTTCTGCATATGAATTCTTTCATCTGGCCGTTAATTGTTCCGATTAGTTTAACGCATTTCCTTATTGCTTCTAGTTTCTCGACATTCTATTTGCACAGAAACCCACTATCTTACCGTTGTCAGTTTTTGGTTATTCTTATGGTTTAAGTCGTGGCAACTAGATCCAGCGCATTTCGATGCTCGGATCAAAGTTGTTCAAATGAACTAAACTGAACTCCTTGGTATGGTGCAATGAAGGCGATACAGATCAGCATTCAGCTGCTTCACCTTGACGATTCAACTAGAATTAACTAGATTGATTGGGGAACTTTAAGTTTTTTTATCACTGAGTTTGAGTGGAGAGTGACCGGTCTCGAATTTGGAATAAGAAGTCAGTGAAGACCTAGGGATTCCGTAATAAAATCACAAAAGTTACGGCTTATCCTAATACCGCGGATGAGGATAAACACGCTGACTCGATGGTGCTCAGATTTGCAGTTTGGTAAGAGACGTGACAGAAAAACATTGGTGTTTTCAATCAGGTGCATAAAGAAAGTGTACAAATGAAAGGGCTAGTAAAATGAAACACCTCACCTTTCCTCCGGAAGTTCATACTTTTCAATGCGGAAATCGGAGTCCACTGTGATTTCATGAGCTAGCGACATGTTGTAGAATGCATTTGCAGCTTCTGTAAGTTGACGCATGGTCACGAAGGTTGGTGGGGAAGCTGAAAATAAGGAGAAGTAAAATAAAAGGTAAGCTAATGGAGTCGCACGTATTAAAATTCGATAGTACCTGTTAGTTTAGATGTATAGCCAGCAAGATGTGTAGTGCCAAGCGAGAGTAGTCGTGTAGAGCCCAATCAACAACACTAGAAAGGAAATGCAGTGTAAAAACAATGAAGAGGCCAATCGTATGACGGTCGCTGAAGAACGACGTACAATCGTTACAGTTTGATAGTGCAGTGGTGCTCAGGAAAGTGGGACTAGTGACACATGGGTTTTTCTCAACTTCACTGTAACGTTTACAAGTTGGTTCAACTGCGTCGAATTTATGACCCCCAGAGCGTCTACTGTTGCTTCATGGAAGTGTACGACTTGGCTGACCTCGCCTAGCTGTGACACTGTGTATCGCTAATACCCATGTCCCAATAAATGCTTATTTCAAAAAAAAACAATGCTATGGATGGAATGTGTAAGCCTATAAGAAAACACTAGACTAAGCCGTGACAACCAGGGTGTAACCACGCTAACATGAAGTCCATTTTCAAATCAACATTTTAGGCCCGAAGATTGCGAAAAGGTTGTAATTGTTCAGTCATATCGAGTTGAATCCAAGCCATTTACTGACTGAAAAGTGCGTGGACCACAGAGTACTCTTGTCGCAATTAGCTTGCATATGACGGAGTGAATCGTTCACTGCGAGCATAGTGTAAGTCAGCAGCCCCGACATTTGATGTATCGCTGAAGGACAAAGTGGGCAAAGCAACGACTTTCACCATTAGACAAGATCCACTAGAAGTGATCGGCCAGTTAACATATTTAAGTGCTTTGAATACGAGGAGATTAGAGCATAACGTGGTGTGACGATTTTCTTACCTAAGTGATCCATTTAGCAACATTAGAAGATACTTTCCAAGCGTCCGCAGTGACATACGAGATGGCCAATCGTTAAGGCTCAGACAAACCCAGCCACCGCATTTTCTGAAGCACGTCGAGTCGAGGGACCTCTCCTTCTTCCAAAGGTAGTCATGAGGTCACAGGAATAGGTTATAGTTCAGTTCAGCTGAACAAGTATAAGCCGAGTATCGAAGTGCGGTGGATTCAGTTGCCACGATTCATACCGCAAGAACAACAAGAATACGAACAATCACAAGTGAGGTTGAATGCAAATAGAATGCAAGGAAGAAAGAAGCAAGAAGGAAATGCGTTAGACTAATCAGAATGAGACGAGAATTCATGGCCAGATGAAAGAAGTCGAATGCACTGAGTGTGTGGCACCATGTCTGACACGGTCTCCAGCCATTGGTGTGGACCGTCCCGAGGTCCCCATCCAGAAGACGGGACGCACCAATCTGACCAAGTTTCGCAGGCAATGTCTTAAAGCATCGAAGCCATACCATGGATTGGCCACCTCGTGGTTTCACAAAACTTGACTCGGCCACGGCATAAAATGCACGCCGAGGAAACCGAGCAACGAGCACACGGAGGACATAGCCTAGCCAACGCAAGCGACTAAGATATAGCATCATCATCATCATTATGCACGTTAGCTAAAGGTGGGAAGCAACTCAGCTACTGTGCCGCAATACATAAAAGAAAAAAGGGAAAAATCGCAAAAGATGCAAGCCAGCTGAGCTACCAGTAACGGATGGGTATCGTTCCGGAAAGCCACCAACCAGCTACTATACAGTAACAAAAAATTATCATGTAAAGTTATATTATGCTACGAACTGAGATCGTAGCTGGAGGGGGAGGCAAAAAGGGATGGGAAGGGACAAAGAAACTCACAGCACGAACGCCACTGAGGTCGGCTCCTAACCATATCAGTAAGTGTATCCAGCCAAACGCGTTCATTGTCTTTCGGACCCCAACCAGGGAGTCGTGGCGCTCCAACCGAGGCCAGTTTCGAAGTGATGGCCTTCATTCCTCTCGACCAAGTCATCGCTTGGCCACCCCATCTCTTCTTCCATCCACACCCCCGACGCGGAAAACAACGTACGTCGCGGGAGCCGGTGGGCTAGCACGCATAACAGGTTTCCGAGCCATCGGAGCCTGGGGCGTAAAATAACTATGCTGAGCGGTTCATTCCCTTTCCTGTGCTCGTTGCTCACGCGGTGTTCCCACCAGATGTGAGCCAAAGTGCGAAAGCACCGGTGGTCGAATGTAACTAGCCTCTTTAAGCCCGTTGATCGAAGAGGCCAGGTTTGTGATGCATACAGTAACACCGGCTTTATTGTAGCGTTATACATCCTACCTTTCACTGATAAGCTGATATGCCGCCGTCGCGATAGATGGTTGAGCCAATGGAAAGACACACGGGCCTTGCTGATTTGCGAAATAACTTCCTCAGTGATGTGACCATCAGAGGTGACACAGCTACCAATGTGAGTGAACCGATCCACCACTTCCAGTGGCTGTATGGAAATAGCTAAAACCGGAGGTGTCAGTCCAGTCTTGCAATAGCACTTTGAAGGTGCAAAGGACATGCCGAAGCGTGCAGCGCTACGTACAAGTCTGTGCAGTAGTGTTTGCATAGCCACTACAGCAAAATCAAGAACTATGTCGTCCACATATTCCAGGTTTGTCAATCGGTCGCCTGGAAAAAAGCCACTACAGAAGAGTCTGAAAGAACCGAGTCATTCATGATCATTTCGATAACAAAGTTGAAGAAGGAAGGTGATACAGGATAACCCTGGCGAACTCGACTTGTAGTGGGGAACTTAGGAGTTCCCGGTAAACCCTTACACGACCAAGAGAATCACGGTAGAGAGACTTCAAAATGGAAAGGAGTTTAGCTGGCACGCCCTTCATGGATAGGCAGTGCCACAAGCTAGTGCGGTCAACAGAGTCGAAGCCAACTTTCAAACCAAGGAAAATCATCATAGTCGGTCGTCTGTACGTGTGCCTCTGCTCTAAAACCTCGCGAAGAGTAAATACGTGGTCGATGCAATCACGGCCATGCCGGAAGCCAGCCTGGGTTTCAGTGATTCGGTTCTCACGGAGACCAGTAAATCGTCGGAATGATACTCGCGAGAAGTTTTGAGGCAATGGAAAGCTGGCTAATGCTTCGATGATTTTGGCACAAAGTGCGCTGAACCTTCTTGAAGATGGGCACGACAATTTACAGTCGCCAGTCTGAAGACACTTCTTTCATGTCGCAAATTGTGCTAAAAAGAGGAGCAAGCCCAAGCAAGAAGTCACCATCATCTTACAGCAAAGACGGGAGGTCATCGGGTCCAGGAGCCTTGTTTCGTTTTAATCAGGCGATCTCATGTCGTATCTCTTCCAAAGTGGGAGGTGCCACATCTACTTTACACGTTGGCTCAGGTGATTCGGCAAGCAGCAATGTCGCAGCCGGCCTGTTGAACTGCTCATCAAAATATTCCGCCCAACGGGTTAGTCGACGACGCTGAGAATGGATCAACATCCATCTTTCTCAGCTATTGTCTCGCCAACTGATGGCTTTCTCGAACCCGTGTTCTGGATGGGTTGGAATAGCCAACGGCTGTTTCCAATAACGTTGGCTTTCTCCATTTCACGGACTTTGCAACCCATCAAGGTTCCGGTCAACTCGAAGAGTTTGTCAAACGTCGTTTCAGTGAGTTACGGACGCCCTGAAATTCAGCGCCCAGGGGAATCCGTTTACGCATTCCAATTAAACTGATCGATGCTGCAGTGATCCATTCACAGTTACGACGTCTCAAATCAAGTGCACAGCAAGCGTCAAAGGCATTCTTCATAGTAAACTTGAGACGATCCCAGTAAGCGGTCGGCTCACCAACCTCATCCATCACTGACGATTGGTGGCTCAATCCGTTGTGACATTGATAAATTGCAGACCGAGTTCAACCAGCCTTGGTTGGGCTCCCATCTCAGTTCAAGCGATCTCTAACTGACGAGTCCAAAGCAGGATGAAACAGGTCAGTAGTGGAGTGTAGCGTTGGGAGAAAGCAGCTTCGAAACTCTTCACGTCGGACGCGGTCCTAGTGAGCTAAATGGCATAGGTTTGCTTCAAAACAAACTATAACCAAAATCGAGATGGTGTGTCACAATCCAGACATACGGCGGGTATTCCAAGACGCACTAATAGAGAAAGGCACTTATATGAGGTGGGTAGAGTGAGCGCCAAACGTGTGCGCACTAGAGTATTGTCCGGATTCAGGCATCAGCTCCGAATTGACCGACAGCCTTGGACTGATGTAGCTGATGGCAATATGGTCAATTTGGGTCCAAGTCATTGAGAAATTCGGTGGACGCCTAGTGACGCGGTGTGAAGGTTTGTGCTGGAAAGCAGTGTTGCTACTACAAAGACTGTGGTCGGCGCACAGTTGTAAAGATCGACCACCATTAACTGTATTGTGTGCATCCACTCCGAAGCGTCCTCCCAGGTGTTGTTCAGAATCTGAAAGACGACCCATTTGGGCATTCAAGTCATCAGCAACAATCACGAGGTCAGTATTCTTCGCCATGCGGAGAACAGATGAAAGATAGCAGTAGAAATCATCTTTGGAGCCCTCCGAACTGTATTAAGTAGGAGCATAAACGGAAGAGATGAAAAGGCACCTTATCTTCATACGGTGCTTCTTAACCCCAATAGAGGTGCGAAGTCGAACCACACACATGCGGCTGTTCACCGGTATCCAGTAAATCACCTATAGTACGTCTGCTGAAGGCGATACCAAGACCGTAAATACCTTGAGCCATTGACTCGGTATCATTAGACGCGAAGAGTGTAGTTATCGTCGTCTGATTCAAAACCAGGGAGTCGAAGGTTCGTGATAACGCTGTTATCTTGTTTGCGTGTTTCGGAGACTTATCACACATCAATACCAAGAGGATGAAGAGTGAGAGTTAGTGCTGCCAGCTGACCGATCTTATCAAAGTGCGGACGTTAAAAGAACCAACGTGAAATGAGACTAGTGGTTTGGCGGACGAGTTACGAGTATCGATGGCAGCAGCAGCGGGGTCAGCAGGAGATTCTTGCTCAATAGACGGGGAAGAGAGT